GCACAGACATTTCAAAGATTCATAGATAACCTACTTCGGGATATGCCATTTGCGCAGGGGTATATAGACGACTTGTTAATTGCAATCGCACGAACAGCATGTACAAACAGTGTTGAAAAGACTGGATGAACATGGACACCATCAAACAATACCCCATACCTAGTTCTCTAACACAACTGAGAAGTTTTCTAGGCCTAATTAATTTTTATCGCAGATTCATACCAGGTTGTGCGCAATTAATGCAACCTTTGACAGATTCACTTAAAGGAAAACCAAAAGAATTCAAACTGTCTTCTGACGCCATCGAAGCTATTAAACAGCTTAAAGATAAACTGGCTCAAGCAACTACGTTGATATATCCGAATTCTCTTTCCCCACTTGCTTTGATGGTGGATGCTTCAGATAAAGCAGTAGGCGGTACCCTTAACCAACTGGTTAAAAACGCCTGGAAACCAATTGCTTTCTTCTCGAAAAGACTCGCTCCAGCCGAAACAAGGTATTCTACCTTCGGGCGAGAACTTCTTGCAATCTACCTGACCATTAAACACTTCCGACACATGTTAGAAGGTAGGGAATTTATAGTCTTTACGGATCACAAACCTCTGACGAATGCATTAAAAGCGAGAGCCGATAAATACTCACCTCGAGAAGTCCGACACCTTGACTATATATCACAGTTCACAAGCGATATCCGACATGTCAAAGGTCAGGACAATCAGGCGGCAGATGCTTTATCCAGACTAGAAATGAACGTGCTACAGCAGTCTACAGTAAACTTCGAGACGCTAAGACACGAACAAGAGCAGGACCTAGAATTACAAAACCTACTTAAAACAAACAATTCAAGTCTTAATTTAAAACAATTCCCATCACCTATCGATGGTATTCTAATTTATTGTGACACGACCAAGGCAATGCCGCGACCTTTCGTTCCCAAAAGTATGCGAAATTTGATATATAATAACTTTCATTCTTTGTCTCATCCTGGCGCAAAAGCTTCAACCAAACTAGTCAATGCCAGATATATATGGCCGAATTAACAGACGGATGTACACAAGTGGGTTAGGGAGTGTTCAGCATGCCAACAATCAAAGGTTAATCGTCACACAAATTCACCCATAGGTGTTTTGTCGCAACCAGATGCACGTTTTGCCCATGTGCACATCGACTTGGTAGGTCCTTTACCACATTTGAGCGGTTTTACTTATCTTTTTACATGCACAGATCGATTTACCAGATTCCCTATAGCCATCCCGATAGCGGACATCACAGTGGAAACAGTAGCCAAAGTTTTCATGCAGAACTGGGTAACCATTTTTGGTACACCCATAACAATAACGACGGATAGAGGAGCGCAATTCGATTCCGAACTATTTAATAACTTGGCTAAACTTCTAGGCTCCAATAGGATACGCTGCACTGCATATCATCCTCAGGCTAATGAGATGGTAGAACGTTTTCACCGTCAGCTAAAAACAGCCCTTATATCTCACTCAAACCCCAATCAGTGGACAGAATTCCTACCGTTAGTTATGTTGGGAATACGAACATCTGTCAAAACTGACGCACAGTGTTCAGCTGCGGAACTGGTTTTCGGAACAACTCTGAGACAACCAGGTGAATTTATTAACCCTAATACTAACAGTCAAAAACTTAATTTAGAAAATTACGTAGATCAACTACGGAACCATATGTCCAAACTTAAGCCAATTAATACTCGCGAACAATCGCGCGCCGTATATGTACCTAAAGACCTAAGCAATTGCACGCACGTCTGGATAAGATGTGACAAAATAAAAGCACCACTCAGTCCTCCATTTGAAGGTCCTTTCAAAGTTGTCTCAAGAAAATCTAAATATTTCGTGATAGAAAAACATGGAAACATCGACACAGTAAGTATTGATAGGCTAAAGCCGGCTTATCTAGATCATGAACCACCATATGTGTTGTTAGATCGTTTAACTGACAAATCCATCACGGAATCGAAACGTAAAGATGATAAATCTTTACAAATGACTAAAACTGTTCGCTGGGCACATCCAATTAGTCAGTCAAGGATGTTGACAGTTTCGGCTGCAGGATAAAATCTGACCACGTAGCTAATCAGACCCTGCATCTACTTAAAAGTAATTTTTTTCCTCATTCCGCCTCACCTACAACTCCCCAGACCTTTTGCCTTTGATATATAAGTGTTATGTTAAATATTTTTCTAAATACTGGACACATAAGCTAGGTATTCCGAAACGATGGCTGCGGATTTTAATTAAACTCATACAACTATCACTGGCAAATACAACGAATTCAAAAAGCAACCCAGGCGAGTTTTATAATTTCTTTTTCTGGTTAATTAACTATGTTGGCTGTACTTCTTATATATCTATATACATTTTTCACATAGACTGGCTATACATATATACCATATGAACTAATTCTAAAAGTTTTCGGTCGAAGATGTGTTTAGTAGCTTGATACGCTTAATACTACTATTAATAAGTGGTTTTCTAGACAAAACATTTTGGATTAAACCATGGTCAAGTACTTATTAAAGTTCTCATCATTTTTTTTCATGTTTAGGAAACTTACGTAATGACTTAACCAGTTTTCCTGCAGCATGCTTTTTATTGTGATCATATAATCCATCTTTATTGGCAATATTCAAGTTTTTTTAAATTTCTGACATTTAGGAATCAATAACCGTGAAGATATAGTACAGTGCGTTACTGTAAGGTTACTATGTTAGCCGCATTGATTCCACATACCTAATTTTTAACACAACCTATAAAGGAAATGTTAAATAATCACAACATTGAACTGATATGAATATCACAGCTATGCTAACGTTAAACCAATTATTATTAGTGGTCCATACAAAATCCTGGAACTTAACACTAGCGTTATAAAAAAAGACATGTTATGTCAATAACTTATATATATATACCTTTTTTTTCTCATTGGTATAATTATAACGTAAAATGGAAATCTACCACACTTGTAGTTTTTTTCGATAGTATTATTATTAATACAAACAAAGAACTTGTACTGTTTCAATATGGCACTTTGACATATCAATCCGTCCTCCTGTTATCTTTCTCTCATATCTGAGCAACATATGGCCAACAAACATCGTATTGAAGAAGGTTTTGGTGAACGAAAACGCTAGCCCCACACGCACTCGAAACTCTGCCCTCCTGGATGCTAGACCGTGTGCCCAGCCATTAGACCACATCAAACCACGGGGAAATGACTGCAATCTTTCCTTTTACCGATTAATCACATATAATACTAATGAGTAATAGGACTTACACACTTCTAAGGTGCAGACAAATTCGTTACTTGGATGAATTGACGAAATATTGCTTCAATATATCATAAATACCTAGATCAAACCAGAAAAGAGTATTTGACACAACTGTACTTAATCCTCATAATCTACACAATTTTTTTCCTCCTTAACCGTATATTCTTTTCCGTTTTGTGGAGTACAATTATGCACCCTTGGTTACGTACCTGGTTATAAAAGGCGGTCGTCATAGTCAATTCTAGGGGGAAGCTAATGTAACAGCTTAGGTTGGTTGGTTGGTTAAGAGTTGACCCCAAACAACCAAGCATATGCCAAAACAGTATTGTTCAAGTATTCATTCACTTCCTTGTTTTGTATAAGTGTTATATTCCCTATTATCTTATATTGAATGTTGAGAGCCTTTGTTTGTCTGAACAGAGAATCCCACGCTCCACTGTGACTGCGCGAAGATCGAAATAAAGACCTATTCACTACTTCTCTGGTTTCTTCTATCAATAGCACGAGGGTTACCTTAAGGCACGAAATATCCAAGAAAAAACACGAAAAAAAATCACAATGTTTAAAAAAAATAAAAAAATAAGGCAATGATATATAAAAATTCCAAAAAGGAACAGACTCACAGTTGCAATCAGGTGTACCAGATCACGTCGGTCTCACCAATGATGATGTCACAGGTATTCAGTGTTTGACAACGCTTCTACCAGTAACACCTTCTAATGTATTTCGTTCCCGCCCAGAGAAATCAAAAGACAGAGTCGAGGAGATCGGAAGAGTGTATTTGGCGACCACCAATATATCGGAATTCTCTGATCTAATCTGGCTAGTGATTGCGGTTGATGTTGAGCACGGCGTTACAGCATGTGATCTGGTGCGGATGCCTGACCGAGCGCCTTCAGCTAGATGAGTCCACTAAAACATATGGTCAGCATCCAATGTTGAAAACTTACAGAGTTATTTATTTTGGGGATTTATTTACCGCTACAATAGTTTCTCAGCATTCACATTCGAGTCTTATGTGAGACAAATTAAGAAATCAGTGTAGCGGCAATGGTGCTGCTAGGAAACAGCTCAATGTCATGGGGAAAATGTATTTCTGTGATAGGCTTCAAGCTAGCATTCTGACTGATGTAAACACCTTGCCACTAAACACTAAAAACTCGAAGAGGTCAGTACAATAATCCTACTAACACTTTGTAGAGCTTCATTGTAATATAAAGGTGGATTTCCTTACGATTTTGTTGGCATGGATGTGGTCGAGATGCAGGCTGGAAACAGCGACGTCTAATATCTTACATTTCGATTGATCGACAGTGTTATCTCGCCGATTACCAAGTAGGCGTGTTTACTTTTCAGATGTTATCTAACTAATCCAACACAACTGGATATGTTGCCATCAAAGTCCGGATCCAGGCGTGTATGCAGCGCGTTGGCGTGTCCAACTGAGCTAAGTTTTTGAGATTTGATACTGTATGCTGTACTGCAGAGCATATCGTCGGGGTATTTCAAACTTCGATGTCAACATGGTGCGGCTACTTTCGAAGTCTGGTGAAGAAAAATCGACATTGCCTCTTTGTTTACGCTTTCGTCGCCTTATTTCCTCTTTGCTCCGTTTGTCTGACTTCTATGGGGATAGTTTTCAGTACATCTGTAACCAAACTGATGTTTTTTTCGATTTATTAATCCTTATTTGGGGCATCGGATGTTTTTAAAAAAACCTGTATGTAACACTGAAGGTTATAGTAATTGGACCGCTAATAGTGCTGTTTACCTTAATCTTTGCTGTTTAAACTATTTGAAAACAAGTCTGGCTTTTCCAGGAAACCCTATTTTAATGCTAAGTGAATCTCCCAAGTAATTACTTTTTAGTCATGATGCAACAAAATGATCAGAAAGTTAAAGACATCATACTTGAACTACTGAAACGTGAAATGCGATTTTCAAGACAATTCGGCTTCGTGATCGCTTAGTTACTAAGATAAATATTGCGAGCTTAGAGAGACCTATAGGTACATTATAGGAACAGAAGCATGTGTCAACTACGAGGCATTGGACAAACCTGATTTCCAGTTAGTGAAAATTGCTAATGCTTTGTTTAGCCGTCGTGATGAACTATATTACTAATGTCGCTCAAGCTTGCGTCTGGTTAGTGGTGGTTCACATTTTCAGTTGTGAGGATTACCGGACACAAACTTCCTATACCAGGACTCTGTCAATTGTTAATTAGAGATGATAATTCTTCACGCACGTCTTGAGTGGAAGAAAATTCTGATGTTTTACTTAAATATTTGTTAGCTGTGTGTGTTGAGTGCAGTGGAGGTTTGAAAATTCACCCTATAAAACTCTAAGTAGAGGGTGGTCCAGTCTTTCTTAAAAGACGACCAATTCCTCATGGTCTTCGTGAAGCAAACATAGGACATTGAATAGTTTGTGTGCGAAAGGCATAATTAAACCGGTCCAGTCTTCAGCATGGAGTACTCCTTTTGTTTTTCCCTTGAAATCATGGAACGACCCCTAGAATCTGCGGTGACTACGGATAAACATTGAACACCCATTTGTTGGAGAAAACGTGCACGATGATGGGAGGTGAAGATATTGTTAATTGACTTCATGGTTCGAATGTTACGGCGAATCCAAATAAATGTTCATTTTGTGCATCTAGTTTTGAATATCAGTGATGTCTTAATGACGGTAACGGTTTTAAACCATATAAGAAACGACTAGCTTCACTGACAAATGCACCATCTCCGAAAAATTTAACAGAATAATCTTCACTAGAGGGTGCTCTTCAATACTATTCTCATCCTATTCCTAATTCTTCTTGTCATGCTAAATATTTCTTTTAGCTCTTGACATCTGATTCATTAAAATGTTGTGAGGGACAACATCCAACCTTACGAAGTTGACTAAAGTTCCTTCAAAATGGTCTTGTTCTTCGAACTTACTATCCTATTATATATTGTACTTATTACCGGTGGATCACCTGGGGGCATTGGTGCAGTTTAGAGACAGAAAGCTAGGTCAGTGATCTGTGTCTCACGCACGCTTATTGTTGCTGAACAAGTTTACTAGCGAACCCAGAGAGAGGAACTAGCTGTGTTTCTGGTCGCCAAAAGATTTCATAAATATTGGTTTGGAAGAAAATTCTTCATTGTAAAGCTCGCGAGTTTATTTATCACACTAGAAAATCTTAAGCACATTCCTCAGCTTCCATGGTTCAATAATGTGGTATTGCTCTGAGTGCTTATGAGCACACGACTTAGTACAAAAGTGCCATACAAATACTACTTTTTGACAATATATCTTGTCAGTCGTTACAAGATAAAACCGTTAATACTGCAAACTACTTATTAGTGCAATTCTTACTTGTGAGTCGTGCAAATCTGAATAAAGGAACTCGTAGATACTTGGGATGTATACTCAGTGCTATATGAAAATGATAGAATGCTAACCTAATACTTAGAACTTCCGTCTATTTTCAAAGCGGTCTTATCAATGAGCTCAAAAGATTAGGTATCGAATAATCTTCAATTGATTGGCTAACTTCATATCTAAAAAGACAGACATTTAAGGTCGGGGTTATGGAATACCCTAGTGGGGCCCCCAGGGTCCAGTACTGGGACTTCTTTTCTTGATTTACACAAACGATCTTCCACAACAGGTATCGTCAGACGTATTACATTTTGTTGATTACGTGAAACTTTGGAGAGAGAGACACGCAACAAAGAGGATATGCTGGCATATCAGGAGTATCTAACTCTACTTCATGTTTGAGCAGATGATAATTGACTTACCTTTGGCACTTCAAAGTGTAAAGCAGTCCATCTGAGACATGTTGCAGACTACAGGTATAACTTAGGCGACTGCCCTTTAGAAGTATCCCATATTGAAAAAGACTTAGGAGTGCTGGTACCTTACGATTTCTAGTCTTACGCTAACTGTTACAAAAATACCTTTTGAGCAAACCTTGCACTGACAACATAGATGCGCAGTTTTAGCCAGTTTGACGGAAGAACTTCCTACATAATCCTCAACAGTTTCTTTCGTCCCTATTTAGAGTACTGGAACATATTATTTCCCCCCACACTCCAGAAAAATAAGGACACTGTAACGTATCCAACGGCGAGTCACGAAATCAGTTCGGGGATTCAAGTTCGAGTCACATAAAGAGCGCCTCCAACCACTAAACCTTTATCCGTAAGAGTATAGGTGTCTTAGAAGTGAACTTACAACATCATTAACACTTCTGGACATCCCCTTATAAATCTAATTAAAACAATAAGTCCCTTTAATAAATTTCCACAATGTAATTATAAGACGAAGATTATCAGAACTACGTGATATATCAGCGCAATACATTTCTAAAAATCTGGTCACACATATACTTGTTATGAGCATTTTTATATAAAAATAAAAGGTCAACTAGACAGCAAACGGGGTAAGAGGAGATAAGGATAATGATAAGAGTAATAGTAATAATGTGAACACAATTCGAAACCTAGTTACTCTGGATAATAAGTCAATATTACCAGGGTAGGTTTAAGGTAAGAACAAACTGTTTTTGAACTCACAAAGGGGGTTTGAATTTTCGTATGGCTAAGGCTTCAATAAACCTTAGTATACGCCCTTTTACACTTTTATACAATACCACAAAGGCTGAGTTTAGATCAATCTTGTGACCTGTTTCAATTATGTGTTTAGCAATAGAGGATGATGGATGTTTATCCTCTGCTCTTATTGGGTCACCTGATTGTATTTGTTTCTGTAGCCATTTCGGTACATGTTCACATCCTAATGTTGAGATCACGATTGCTCCTCCCTATGTATGTGTGACCACACACACATTTAAATCGGTAAACACAGTGGGATGTGGCGCAATGGTTTCCATGTCTTCAAGGCTTTGAATAAAGTATCCACCTTGTTCTTTCTTTGATGATGACCTTTGCTGCGCAAAAGGTTTTATTGATGACTGATTTAAGTCATTGTTTCAATAAAAGGCTATTTGAATCACCTCTGAATGGTAAAGTGATGTAGACAGGCTTTTTCTCTACCGAGGCTACAGTAGGTCTCGCTGTACCATGGACTTTCCATCTATTTATGAATTTCAGAGGAAAGCCATTTTCTATTAACGTTTTATTTAACAACTTAACATCATCATCAATGGCGTCGTTTGTACAAATACAGTCGAGTCTGTTGAAAAGACATCTTATCAAACCACGTTTGTATTGCACAGGGCAATAACTATAATAACTAAGATATTGACCTGTCCACGTTGATTTTCGAAAAATGAATCGCTTGACTGAGCCATCTTCTCGTCTACTCAGAAGTATATCTAGGAAGGGAAGCTGACCGTTCTTCTCCTCTTCACATGAGAGACTAATATGGTTTTGGAGAGTGTTAAGTTTATTTAATAAACAGTACATATCCTCTTTTCTCTCACAAACAACTAAGATATCGTCCACATATCTCTTATAAAGTGAAATGTTTCCGATTAAGTCATCAGTCTGATTTTCAACATGTACTGTAGTGACTTACATTTATCACGAGAACACGACTGGTTTAATAAAAACAATTATTATTATAACCAACTGTACCAGTGTTTGTTTTAACGTGCTTTTGTTTGACTGTGCTAATGACAGCTATTTTGTGCTTCCATTCTTATATTTACACTTTGATTGTAACTTCGCGCGAATTCGGTTACGTTCTGTAACCAAGCTTGTATCCTGGCACGATCTCGGTATCCTTTCGATACCACGAGATCGCCAGCAAATATATATCTCGATTTGGTCCATTAATTGCTTTCCGATATTTGGCTTCTCGGAGATTTTGTGGGCTTCTTTGGTTACATTCAACCTACGCCTTCTGATTTATTTGGCACGTGTTTCTTTGTAGCGGTGTTCATAGTTAATCCCAACTCGACGCCACGCTACAGTACCATGAACACATCTGCTTATAATGGTCCTAGTGGACTACCCATAGCAACTCCATCAATTTGACGAATATAATCACCTTCAAAAGTGAACTGAACTTTGTTAGTACATAATAAAAGTAAATCTTCAGGAAGTTTTACATGTACACGTGATTGAAAATTGTTTACAGATATGTAATCACATTATATATCAATGGTTTTTTTCAAAGGTACATTTGTATGACCATTTGTGTGACCAGATTGTTCGAAATGTATTGCGCTAATATATCACATAGTTCTGATAATCTTCGTCTTCTTATTACATTATTGAAATCTAATTAAGTTTATCTTCAACACAAACTTGAGGGGTAGCACACAGAAACTGGAGACATAACACATCAGGACGGATTGTAGGCATACCCCCTACTCCTTAAGAGTTATTGAGTGTCAGAATTCGCTGCCAGCTGAGCTAGTTCAAGCGACTTCCCAGGAGTCCTGACATATTCTTAAGGGCTAAGGATAGTTTCTTACTATTTAAGATGCCACAGGTGTTCGGAGTTTGGCAACGCTTTAACTGGTAAAACCTTCTTTTATGAATCGTACCCACCAAGTGAAATCGAAAGACAGAAGCGAGGAGGCTCGATTATATATTTGATAGGCTATCTACGTATCGAGGATCGACTGATCTAATCTAGCTAGCGGTTGCAGGGGATGTTGAGCACGGCGTTCCCACTCGTGATCTTGTACGGATGCATGACCGAGCGCCTTCAGCTAGGTGAGAACAATAAAACTAACGTGGTCAGCACCCATTGTCGAAAACTTACAGAGCTATTTATTTTGTGATTTATTTAACGCTACACTATGATTTTCCTGTTTCTTTTTCCTCTATTATCGTTAATATACCTAGATTACTGCCTGGAGGTACTTGCGATCCACAGTTGTTACACACAGAAGCCCGTAAAGCATAAGCTTCTTCTATTCCGTCCACAATCATTTGAACCATCTTAACCATTTATCATTAGGTCGCTCAAGGTCGTGGAAAGCGAGTAACTTTAAAATCGGTATGGTTGTCTCGATTTTGGTATTGATTTTGTACTGAGTGTTGTCTTTATCTTCCTTTGGTAAATATAGGTACACTTCCTGCGCTTCATGTTTGGTCGTCTCATCTTTTGAGTATTTTTTCCAATCGTCATGCTATTGTGCATGTTTCTATAGTAAACAAAGTACCTTCTATGTAGACGCGAGCCGTTACGTGTAGTTTTTTGCTCCTTCATTTTCCGTAGTCCAACTAAATTTGGGGTTGTAATGAAATTTGACTGTAGCTAGGTGAGGTTTTAATTTGGTATAGTCTCGCTCCGCAATTAACTCGTCAGTGAAGCTAAAAGCTAATTAACTGAGTTTCCAGTGATATTTGGTTAATATGAAGTATACACTCAGAATTCCAGGAGATGTTGGTTGTTCCGGAATATCATGAGACGCCAAAGTCAGACTAGTGACGTGATTTGTCAGGGATTAAGGTTGTACCATGATTCTAGTATTCTACAGTATAGTTCATCTCAGTTCGTTATGGAAACACTTAACCCTAACACCTATTCCCAATCCCATCCTAGCATTTGTATTAACGTTTCTTGTCTAACATTGGTCCTGCTGAAAACTTAAGTTTACCTGACAATCTATGAAATAGCCAACAGAATAATGATGAAATAACACTAGTTTCGGATTGGTTATGGGTGTAAATCTAAAATGTAGTAAATTGAATTATTGCCATTATTTTAAGATTCTAATTCATCTTTTCCTTTATCAAAGTATATCTCCCGTATGTAGTACATATTTTCCTTCCATGGATACTACGACTCACTTGATTTTCATTTCGTTAATTCCCGTTCTTGGTGCTTATGTGAACATAGCGTTTTAGATCGACCAAGATTTTTGCTATGCCCGACGTTGATCGAATGTAGGTGTAAAAAATCTTTTATATCATACACACTTTGTACCTTATCTGCCCCCAAATACCCTGGTACGGCTGAGAGTGGGGAGAGTCCGCTCTCCCTCTCGAAATGCTCTCACATGGCCACGCGTATATAGCCTCTGCCAGAGAAGTCCTACTCACTGTCTTCTCGTGGCGGGGGTGTTGTTTACGAAAATGAGAGGACGAAAAGAGAATGTCCGGCGCTTTAACCGGGCCGGTGGACACGGTAAGTTTATCTAGGGGAGTTGGAAAACCGTGATTCCAAACCAATGGTGCACATGGGCTCCAGTATCCTGAAGGAACAAATGGAGTATAAACCAACCGTTGGTCACCGGCTACCATGGGACTGCATCTCCTTACGATGCTCCACTGCCTTGTGGATCAGACTTTCAGGTCGAAGGCTCCGGGTGTGGCCCCCTAAGAAAACCGTCTGCTTCGGTTTGGGCACCTAGGCAGTATCACAGCCCTCACACATATCGAATGAGATTTGTGTGGCTCATATGTATTTTGTGTCTCCTTGTACCAATATCTTTGTGTTAAAATAAATAAACAATAAAAACCTTATCTGATGTTCGCTAAGATTATTTCATTTCGTCTCTCTAAAGTAAGGAATTTATCCCTGAGTTACGTAATCTGACTTTTATGACATTTCCTTTTTAAATTAGGTACTTAACATTTTAGACTATGCCGTATCTAATGGATGAAGAAGTTTCTAGCGATGAATCCGTAAGTTATCAAATCGTGTGTAACGATTTTAGATCGAATGTAAAGATGTGGAGATTGAGTATGTTTGATTAACTTTAATGACAATGGATAATCACTAGTTACGAAAATTTGTCCAAAAATACTACAGGACCACCGAGTTATGCATCTCTAGCTCAGAAAGATTCAGCAAAGTATGATACTATTTTACTGCCATAGTGTTACGATTTCAGGAAACCGAAAAACCCAGGTGATTTACATACGAGTAAAGGAAAGGTGTTGAATTATCTTCGGATACCGAAAGCTGTTGATTTCATGTCTCCAGATCTAACTGAATATGTTACAGAAACCCAAAGGGCAGGCCTAATTGCACAACTTAAAGCTAATAAAGACTAATCCTACGAAATTTCTTAATTTTTTCTCACAACACATGCTTAGCCTAAACAATAGATGTCTTAAAGTATATGTTAAAAAATGGTACATGTTGAATATAAGTATGTTTGCTTTGCCGCGTTTTAACTGAACACATCCAAAATCCTGTAGATCTGTCAAACCATGTTTTTGTATGTTCACGAATATTCGAGTAGATGATTCAGTATTAAACAATGATGTTTCCTGTTTTTTCACCACCTATGCGAATTATAAATTCTCGAATTTCTAGTTCTCGACTGGGTCCTTTTGGCACAAAAGTTTTCTTTAGAATTGGGAGGCTGATTTAGCCTTACCTTACTTGTCGAAAACAAGTTTAGGAATTATCCTCTTTTGGCACGAACCTGGCAGTTAATTACACCCGGGCAGTATCACAATCCTCATTCAAATCAATGATAACTACGACTGGAAAATTTCTCTTACCCCCAAATGCCTTGGTAGGGTCGAGGGTGGGGACAGTCTGTCTCCTTTGCGAAATGCTCTCACATGGCCACGTGCATACAACCACTGCCAGGGAAGTCCTACTCACTGTCTTTTCGCGGTGGGCTGTTGTTTACGAAATTGAGAGGACGAACAGCGAATGCCCGGAGCTTTAGCCACCGGCTACCATGGGGCTGCATCTCCTGACGTTGCTCCACTGTCTTGTGGATCAGACCTTTAGGTCAAAGGCTCCAGGATGGACCCTAAGAAAGCCACTTGTTTCAGTTTGAGCGCACGGGCATTATCCCAGCCCTCACACAAATCAAATGACGACGTGTGGCACATATCTACATGGAGCTTCTTTGTACCAATGTTTATGTTTTCAAATAAGAAGAGAAAAATAAAATAACTCGCTTCAACTCTCATTCAGTCGTACTATCCGCATTAACAGTAGGTAGTGTGCTGTTAGATTAGAAAGTTCTATCAAAGTGCGAATAAATCGGTGTAAGAAATGGTGTCTTTTCGTCATCTCTGCCTATGCTCGGACAGATTGCATCCAGAATGCGATCGAGGATGATTTGTACCACCAATTAACTGTTCTTCTACAGGAAGTGCATTCGACATTTTAATACTAGCCGGAGGCTTAAACTCTCAGGTCGGGCGTCTAGGAACAGAGGAAAGTCGTTTAGGTGACCGATGGGGACTTGTCGGTCCCAGGTTAGGTAGTGGGGACCGTCTACTGCAACTGTGCACAAACTATACAACCTGTTTCTGGCTAGCATAAGCGAGGACTTACGTAATGGAATTGGGAAAAGCTTGCGTGAGGACTAAGAAGGTTTGTAGTCGGAGCATGCCAATGGTTTGGATGCAGCGGCTTCATCTGTTAACTACCGGAGGCTCTTTCAACTTATCTGAGCCACTGGCAGCAAGAAGTCTCGTGTGAGTGGAACATTCTGTGAAGATGACGGGTTGTCAATCGCTAACATCTATCGACATCTTGGACTATCGGCAGAGTTTTTCGAGGAGCACTTCGACTGGTCTGCTGTCCCGGCAACATCCTCCGCCAAATGTTAGAACACCATTATACTTATTACGGGTCAACAATCGTAGTGTTTCTTGACATTAGGGCCGCCTTCGATTCGTTGAACAGGACTGTTCTTTGGGATTGTCTATTAAAAAATGACGTATTTGAGAAGTTTGTTAACATCTTGAAAGCCCTATATGCAAGCAACTCAGGTAGAGTGAGGGCATACAAACACCTCCATTGTTCCATTCAAACAGTGTGGTTAGACAGGGTTGCCCAATCTCACCATTCCTCTTCAGCTTTGCTGTCGATGATGTCCTGAAAACAGCTCTGATGGATGTAATGTGGATCTGTTGCCGTGAGTATGCGGATGATATTGTCTTACTGTGCGATAATACCCAAGCCATGTAGTCCGCACTTAATCAGTTGGCAATCAGTGTCCGTAGGTACGGTATGTGCCTTGCACCTTCGAAGTGCAAAGTGCTTCTACAAGACTGGCAGGATTTTAATCCTGTACTCACCCTGGATGGTGAGCAGATAGAAGTAGTCGAGAAGTTCGTGTATCTAGGTAGCTACATAAGTGCTGGTATTGGCATGAGTGATGAGATCAATGCACGTATAGTGAAAGGTAGAGCGGTTTATGTCGATCTAGGCCATCTTTGGTGTTTTCTTGATATCAGTCTGGCTGTGAAAGGTCGGATCTACAACGCGTCGGTGAGAGCAGTTCTGCTCTATGCTTGTGGAACCTGGCCTCTCCGAGTTGAGGATGTTAGACGACTCTCTGTGTTTGATCATCATGTCTCCGAAGGATTGCTGACATCCAGTGGCAACACCATGTTATTAATGCAGAGGTTTGGCATCGTGTGTTCGGGCACAGAGACGATAATCCAATTGGTGTCACCATCTTGAAACATTGACTTCGGTGGCTTGGACATGTTCTACGAATGTCGTCCCAGAAAATCCATGTTATGCATTATTTGCCGACTCTGGGACTGGTTGGAAGAAGCGGAGAGGTGGTCAGTGTATGACATGGTGTTGTGGTATAAAAGAAAGCTGCAGAGGGCTGGTTTCTGTTGGTCCTCCGCGACTCCGGGGTTGGAGTTCTAGAGGTGGTGCAACACAGTGGCTTGAGGTGGTATCAGATATGGCTCAGAATAGAAGCCGGTGATTATCTCGCTGTAGCTTTTACTTTCTTCAGAAAAATGAACGTAACTTCTTTAATTGAAAGAATTCTTCCTGGTTATATTTTTGCTAGCTGAATTGTTTCTCCCATTATTATTATTATTATTATTATTATTATTATTATTATTATTATTATTATTATTATTATTATTATTACTATTATTATTATCATTATTATTATTATTGTTTCACTTTCATACGCTAATTTTTGTTCGTTGTTGTTTTTTATTATCATACGCACTTTACATTCCATTTCTTCCCAAATTCATTGTTATTGTGTGACGCATTTGTATTTGGTGCCATCTTGTACCAATGTTTGTGTTCAAATACATAAATACGAAATTGTGGTGAATGCTACACACAGGCTTGTTTGTGAATAATATGTAACGGGATGTGGCTTCGAAGTCGCAACAATTATAGGACAGAGTAAAGAGTTTCAGTACATCGAAAGCGTGGCATTGGCAGAGCATTGGGAGCCTAAACGAGAAGAAAGTTACATAGTGGCTGGTACTATATCAAGTTATTTAGACTATTCTAGCTTCTCGACAGACCAATTTATTCATTCATCTCAAGCCACATTTTGACTTTGTCAATTATTCGCTTATTAACCATGACTACTTATATGGTCGTATGTGTGCTAATTGCTTACCCTATTCATCACGTGTCTAAATTATTTTTGTCTGGTAACATATATCGAATCACACTTCGTCAAAACGAGTTTACTCAATCGTCTTCTTCACTGTGCGTCATTTCGTTTCATTTCGCGTCCTTCTCTGTTCTCTTTGTTCGCTTCGTTTCTCTGATCGTCTGTCTGGATCAACGATTGTACGAAATATACGTATTCGAAATCCATTCTCGTGTTTGTTTTATTTAATTCCGTTATCCACTAACGCGATTTAGGTCGGTGATTATGTACAAAGGTAGCCGGGATGTATGTTTCGATAGCAATCATCATACGATATAACTGGAGTCAGATATCGGACTACTAACGTTCAAATGACAGAACACACCGAAAGATGTAAATGTATATGTATTATGTAAATACTTAGTAACTTCTCACAACAAATATACCTTCCTCCTGCCTATTGCTTTCTTGCATTTAGTGTCGCTGCCTACGGAAAGGCGAAGTAATTCTAATAATTTCAAATGAATGTTATTGCAATGTCTATTTTTTTCAAGTCTTTGACCGACTTCTTATCATGAAGCATTAATTCGGGCCTTTATTATTCCCAACACAATCGGCACACTCGTCATCACACCTGTGCTGTTTACTTATTATGTTTGTTTTTTTAGTGTTTCGTTCTTGTCACTGACTCATAAACTGCCTTGATCAGTTTAGTGTTTTCATATATTCCCATAAATCTTACTGTGTACCAAAGTACTGTAATTGAATACAATATCGTCTGCCTATATGTTGTAATTTATAATGTGCGAGTTTTTAATACTATCATCTTGTTATAAACTAATAATGATAAACAAATAAGAACGCTAACATTTTTGAATCTAAATACTTGGTCATTGAGTAGATCAGCTGTATTAAAACATTTACTAGGAATACCAGATCTGTTATACAATCGTATATAGAATCAAAATAATGATTTATTCTGTTTATTTAATTATGTCTGGAAGACGAAATATGCATTAAAAGATTTGACGTTATACCTAAAAAATATGAAGTCAAATCTTCACGGGGATGAAATAATCGTTTGTTGTTCATTTCAAGGAAACGACAATTTTCTTCGTTATAGTAAGATAAAAAGTAGTAATAGTAGTTTCCATTCAGCTGATTCCTCTTTTTCTGCCTGTATAGTCATCATCTGTAATAATGGATATAAAACGATTTAGTTGCATTGTTAGCGAGCATAATAATTTGCTAATATGATTATATTATTGACATAAATATACAGGGAAAGAATCATTTTGTAAATGCAACATTAATAGCTTGTAGTTTCTGTTGGTAGTTAAGGCTGTGGTACATATTCATACTTATTGTCCGGTGTAATAATTAACAAATAGCCTTGTTTTGGACCTGTTAAAATAGTTGGTTGTGTATTTGTGAGAGGTGAATACTGACAATTTTGTTGTGATGTGGATTGTTGAGTTAACTGTTGATCTGTTGTTAATGACGGCAATACAATAACAGCATTTGTGGGCGAGGCTGTCATAACCCGTGGATTCACCCCTGAGGTTGCTGGAAGGCCTATAAAAACCGAATTAGAATGTGGTATTTGAAAAACAAGTGGTGCTTTTTTACTGTTTTTATTATCGGTCGCTTGTTGATTCTCTGAGAAATTCAACATTTGTGAAGTAGGCATGATAACGATGGGATATTGAGGATTAGTATGAAGACAATTTGATATTTCTTGTAAAATCTATTTTTAAAATAAGAAAAAGGGAAAAAGTTTTAAAATCTTGTAGTGTCATTGACTAAGTAATATGATAGTTAACATAAATCATTCGATAGTTAATTGCTTTAGTAACCTTAAAGCTAATCTCGAAGGAGTAATTCCTCATTATTTATTCATCTCTATTTGATTCTTACGGTTCTTAATGTTAGTTTATGAAAAGTTTTCAAAATTAATCCAACATAATTGGATACATTTTCGCAATAACAATGGAAATTTATTTGTTCAGCTTTAACTGAAGACTTATGTAGTAAATATGTACCTACCATTATTTATTCTACAAATTTCTTTAGTACTTATAGCACTGATTGTCATGGTGAGCTTAATATAAGGTTATTGTATTCCTATCAAGTATATTACCATGGTAATACCACAGAAAATATAAATGGTTCTACGACTCTAGTGAAACAACACTGGATCTTAGTCATATTCTCATATTGAACTTATACCTACTACTGGAAACGGGTACCGGAAGTTAATTCGTTCATCAGGATCAACAATGACCATCAGTGTTAATCCAGCAATTGAATTTAGAAACCGACGTGTAACAGTATGGTTGGATGCTATCCTGATTGTTTTCTATTTTCTTATGTCTACTAGATATGCATTACCTTAATTAACCATCAGTTTATTATTCAGACTGTTAAGAAAAAAAGCGAATATTACTACAAGGTCAGTTTGGGAAAGGATAGGAGTTGAAAATACTGTGGTTTGATGTTAAACAGCTACGCAGCTCTATCTGTCTGGTTGGAGCCAGCAAATGAATGATATCTGCGTATTCTAATTTGAGTGCATGATAGCCACATGGTATGCCCAACTAGGAATCCCAGCTCCTAACTTTTATTCATCTCAGCTGTCCGTTTCCAACTTATTTTTACATTCAATCTATTACATCTCAGTTGAGATTAATGTATATCTTTACAGATACTGGCATAGGTAATAATTAGACTGGATGTAGATTGGAATACTGAGTTTCTGGGAGCGAATTAAATTAACAGTTATCTTCAGGACTGCAAAAACTGTTATGCCATCATAGACGAACCAGTTAAAACTAGTAGGATAGCTATAGATTTGGTGAGCAACTGCAATATAGTTATGAATGAAAACTGTTGTTCTTTTAAGTACACAGTCTGTCAAATAAATGTTCAACAACGTCCTATACATTCAGGAGTTATTGCTTGTTGGTTCCATTATCTCGTTTCGTCACTCATCATGTTTGGGTGTTAACAATTTCTCTTTGCTTTCGATGTGGAAAATGGTCTTACAGAGACAATAAAGTAGCCGAAGACTTTGGATGTTGGGAATTATTGGGGATATTTTAATCAACAGAAATGGAGAAGGATTACGATCAACGTGCCCTAAATTTCATAACGTTAGTATATTTATTAGACAAGCTACGTAAAATTGATGACCGCAGAATACAGTTATCGAGTTTGGTCATACAGTATTAGACTACCGAAAGAAATTAACATTAGCAATCAGTTAGTCAACTGCCTAACATGAAACCAGTACCCCGGTACTTATATATAAGTTAATAGTTTGTCTTTGAGAACTTTAACAAACGTATCACCGTCAGTTCTTAATACACTCCAAAGACATATGGGATGAGATTTTATTATCTGTTAATGTGAAATAAAGTAGAAAACTCAATTTAAGATTTCATTTTAACACGAAAAGTACAGTTTATTAATATAGAAATATGAACTTCACAGACTATACACGAAATTTACAAATTAAAGATAAATTAAGCAGCTAGGCTTGATGGTAAAAATCTTGCTACCATTAGTTCTGTTCATTTACGATAAACATTGCTTGTTATATCAGGGCTTACCTTACTTAAGTAATCTCGTTTTTGTTCTGAGTTTGTAGTACTTTGAAGATATTCAGGGGTGGGAATTTTAGGTTTTTCTAATTTTCCCACCAGCTCTGTTGATGCTGATGCTTGGAGATTACTTGCTTCATAATCATTTGACTGATTCTGATTAGTAGATTCACGTAGAATAAATTGTGTTGGACTAACCGGAGTTGAATATGGAGCACCCAACGATCTAAGAAGTTTGTTTGGGGTATCTGTAAAAAGATGACAGTGGGAATATATTCATAAGTTAGTGTTACTTTTTCGTTTAGATCTTTTCTGAGTAAAGCTAGGAAGTCGTTTGATGATAAATATTTGCAGTTCGACTCTTGGTAGTAAATTTCCAATCAGTAAGCCTGTCGTTGTCAAGCCAGGGATTATCATTTGTGTTAAGTTATGAAAACATAATATGATATGCTATCACATGGTCGTTTATAATGGAAAATACTATCAGCTCAGTAAGTTGCGTTAATCGGGACAGAAAGGATCCCTATTTGGACTGTCAATATTAGATTGGAGATTAACAGTGGTCAATTAATTTACAAGCTAGAGTTTCGTTTTTCATTGCATAAAGATAAATGGAATTCAAAGAAGGAAATTTTGTTTTAGACGAAATCATCCATTTAACCTGTACATGAGTATAAAGTGCTCCAAGATTTCAAACATCAAAAGGACGTTGTCTAATGATCAAGGGGTTAAGGAAGTATTAAACTGTCAGTTAATTGAACTAATAAGGAAACTTCAATATGATTTACTGGCTTATTCAAAATGCATGTGGTTTTGGGGAAATGATTAATCTAGATTTCCAAATCAATATTTTTATTTACAGATTAAACAACCTATGTCTCCTGAATTAATATTGGAATTTTACTAAATTCTTCGGATGGGTAGCCAAATGTTTCTTTTAAAATATCATAGTTTTCTTGCTCTGTAGCTTGTTGACTCAAATTAATGTACTGACTTTTTTACTGTGTATCGTTTTTCGAAGTCGCTTTGTATACAGAATCTGGTAAATAATGAAATTCATTATTAAACCATTATTCACTACTTAACATTCATAGAAAACGATTTTATGTCGTGTTCTAGATTTTAGATTATAGTCAAGTGTGCACATTTCTTATGCGTGAACTTACGAATTAAGGAAGTATTTGTTTTCAGTAATTCGAAATTTCTTTAGACTAGGACCTTACTCATTGACAGTATAGACCAGTTCATAAATACAACGAGAAGACAGATTAGAGAAAAAAATCTAGTGTTATTCAGTATTCATGCTTGGCTGTGAAACCTACACATTTCTAATTTACAAATGAAACTATTTAAGAGTATTTTGTTCACTTACTTACAAGTAGTTTAATCATTTGTAGTAACCTCTTTTGCTTGCCAAGCCAAGTAAGTTCCTCTTCGTCCAGTTTTTTCAATTTTATATTCTGAGCTACATGTTTGGGAATAATAAGGCAGTGTTCCGTTCCAATGAATGTCGTTAAGCCTAAATGTTATTCACTGTTTAAACAAGCCATTTATACTAAAGACAAATTACTTATATATGTGTGTTTTCTTTCGTGATCAATCATTTTAAGTTTCTGTATCTTAGATCGATCTTTTGAGTCCAAAGAGAATGAACCTAATGTTCTGTATGCTAATTTTGACAATAGTGTTTATCATAACATGGAAGATCAAACTACTGGGCTGTCAATACAGCGAAAAAGAATATTTTCTCAAAATTGGTCTCCAAGATGTATGTCTTCAAACGGAAATTAACTTTATTTCCAATGAGCTGTTAGAAACCAGTTTCCATTGAAGTATTTATTGGTTCGTGCTCCCATCTTCTGATATCGAATCAGCTTTCAGCAAATTATGGGTATCATAACAACAAATTTACTTTTAGCCAGACCTCTTAGATAATATATTTCTCACGGACTTTGGTAATTTTGAATCACTTGATCAGCTTCATCTTGTCGTAATCTTTTGTTTTAAAAGAGCAGACATACTACTGTCATCAGTCCAATATCTTAAATTTATGCTTGACTAAGATGGAAAACACTGAGATAAAAAATATATGTATCATACAGAATTTGTCTCCAGTATAAAACACTGTAACTTTTTACTCCTGATTGATCTCATTTCTTGTAGTATTTTGCTGTCACTGCATCAACCTCTACTCGTCTCCTTAAAGCTTCTTCAGTTCAAAAATATAAAATTGAACCGATCTCGTGAGTTTAAAAAATCTGTTAACTAGGTAGTCACCGTTAATACATAGTATGGCACTCATGATTTGAATCTATATTTGAATCAGTAATTACTACGGATGATCCATAATTTCCCAGGTGACGGAAGGTAAGTACTCCCTCGTGTTTCGAAACCTATAACAGTGGCAGAGATTTATCATATTTTATTTCACGAAAGAAGGATAGATGTTAATTTTTTAAAGTAGGATGCTGTACTGAAGAAGGTTTATCCTATGTATTGACTATAAACCTTTACTTCCAAATTGAAGGAAAGGGATGCTACTCTTTCCTACAAATCATGTATCAAGATATATTAAAATGTAGGATTGATATTGAATCGTTTATACCTGATTTTGTGATTAATGTACAATAAAAAAATCAAGAAGTGAGAAAGCTTTGACTGGTTATATTTTAGTCATTTAAAGCTTGGTCAAAATCTCAATGACTGTAGTACACATACTCCATGGTATGAGGTGATCCCTACTTTATTTATTAAAATATGCTGGACAATCTATTACTTTTTTGGAATAATCGATGAAAACCACTAGTCAGTATTTCCATATATGATGCTAGTTTATTTTAAATGTACATAATGTATTTTTGAGGAGTAATTATTCCTCGCATCAATTATATAGGTAGCCATTATATTTGTTTCCCATTTGTGTGGTTAAATGAAGTACTTCATTTATTTTTAAATTAATCCACTCAAAATTGCCAGCAAACAACAAATGGGAATAAAAAAAGATCCATTATCGAACCAAAATCTCATCCTATCAATTACAGAATCTAACAGTTATATCCGAAAGAGGAATAAATGAAAGGTAACTGCTAGGATTTATTTACGGACTATCATTATATCTATTCCTATCTGATAATTAGTAAGTAACTAGATTATATATATTTATATATTCGCATTCCTTTTATCTTGAGTTTTCATTTGATCTATTGGTTAATGTTATACGATTTATCAGTCTTAACTTATTCCCAGTCTATTAGTTACAAACTCATATACCCACAACCACTTTTCGCTTGATTTTGTATAATTATTATTTTTCATTTTATGATGTGATGCAGTTTGGCTTGTTTGTATATAAACAGCGTATGTCTGAAATATATGTTTCATACAGCGAAGGCTGATGTTTGTATTCTGGACTGAACGGTCTGGGTAGGCGAGGAGTTACTGTACAGAGGACCAATAAGGACTCAGAATTTACTTAAAGCTGCTAGTTCTGGTTGGCGCATTGTTGATTAAGCACAGGGCCAACGTCATAAAAGTCGGTATTCTGATTTGAAATTCTGTCACGTGATATTTGACGGAGGCATAAGTCATAAACTAGGCTTCATATAACTTAACCATAATTATCAATATTTCGATCATTTTCACCTCCATTGTGATCACATGATAACATTAAGTGGATAATCTTCGAAAAACGTGCAATAGAGGACTTCATTCTAGCTTGAAAACTTTTGGTATTTTGGACTCAAGAACTCACATAGAAACTAATAGAAAGAAAACATTCAAGCATGATATACCTAATCCAATAGTTTATTGATTCATTTTCAGTCAAGTCCTTATTTCACATAAATATCATCCAATATTATCAATGTTGATCTTATTTATATCATGTCTATATCATACAATTAAGGGTAATGAAAATAAATTAAATAGTGATTTCACGTTTTATTGTGGTTGGTTCGGCATTACTTTGGCAAGTTTTGCTGACTGTTCATGCACAAATTTGGTTTGCTGGTTAACCGATTTCATTCATACTAGTGGTTGCTTTTCAGTATTCTCAAGGGCCATTGTCATTGGGACATTGTAAGGTATGTCGCCATTGCTAAAATTAATGAATGTGACTGTCGTATAAACAGAATAGGTCAACTTTGGTCTGTTTGTGCTGTGCATAATTGATTCACGCGATCATTGATCGGAATAATTATACATGTGATGTGAATGTGTATACGAATGGTGTGAATGGGCCACCAGGGTGCTTGATACCTGTGTGGTTGCGCCACAGGATTAAGCTGTACTATTCAGATTGTAGCGTTAAAGCCTATACGGTGTCTGGTTCTCCTATGAAGCGGGATTGAGCTGTACTGTTCGGGTTGTCACGTGAAAGTCCGGGTGGTGTCTGGTTCTCCTGAAAACCAATGTAAAATTATCCTGGCCCACAAGGGTATATTATATAACTAACGTTTTATGACCAATTTTAGACTATTTTTCTTACTTTATCATGTGATTATATTGCAACACAATGAATTTTAATTTCAATGGTTAAGATCATGAGTCAATTGAAGCTAGACCACCATGGAAAACCTGGAAGCACTGGATGGCCGTTTCATCCTATTGTGGGACTCCTCAGCAGTGCGCATCCACGACCCCACCCCCCTGCGAGATTCAAACCCAGGACCTACTGGTTTCGCGCGCGAGCACTTAACCACTAGACCACTGAGCCGGCCGTCATCTAACGGTGTTAATGTCTAACTTCAACTAATCCACGTAATTGAGCGACACATCCACCATTGTCTTCAGTGAGTTACTACCTCACAACAGACCTGGTTGAACTCCACTGATGACTGCTTCTCACTAGAACTCCAGGATATACCTCGTGAATTGTCTTTAAGAGTAAAATAAACGTTTTACCAAAATATTTTTAGTTTTGCTTTTTTAATATAATAAAATGAAGTTTAAAATGGAAATAAAAATAACCAAAAAAAGAAAACAAACTAACTTATACTTTTATTAAGCCAACAACGTTCATCTACCATAGTGTATGGAGAATAATTCATTTGTACATTTGGATTAATTGCTATTTGTGAAGTGGATAAAAATGAATTATGCCCAGGTTTATGATATAAAGAATATTGTGTTGGATTTGAAGTACACCAACATGTATTTTGTATTGATTGATTTGATGATATACCAATTGTACTTGAACTCATTGGGTAACAGATATCATTACTATTATTATCATTATTATCATCAATATTAATATGTTTATCAATAGAATGATAATGATCATTTTCCACCATGTCAGTAATTTCATTTATTCTATAATCTGAATTATTTTTTGTCAATATTATTGATGGTGATGTACTTAAAGAATTTTGTCCAGGTGATTGATACCATGTTCGTGGCCTATTTCTTGGTATACTTAGACTATTTGTATTGAATACAGTATCAGTGTTACTATCTTCAGATTCACTCATCACTTCTGACCAAATTGATTGTTCTGGTTTTTCAGTATAATTTAAACTTTCACTTAGTTTTGTATTGAAACTGTGATTTTTTGGTTCATTTTTAATTTCATGTCTTATTCGTTCAAGACCCATTACTCTTGGCAAAGAACTATCTGATGATGAACTCAGTGGTCTACGTCTCGCGTAAATTGGTCTTTGAATGTGATAAAAAAGAAAACTTATGGTGAAATATATATATATATATATATATATATATATATATATATATATATATATATATATATATATATAGTAAGAAATTATTAATTGGATTTCATTATTATCACTGACTTAGGTTATCAATTGAACTACTTAAAAGAAGGGAGCAACATACTGAGATTTCATAGTATTTTGAAGTTCCTTATCGTTTATTCATACAGTTTAAGAACGATCCTTTTTTAGGTTAAACATGTATGTGTTTTTAAAAATATATGTATCAAAGAATACGTACATTTATGTAATGCTTATTTCATGGTCCACGATTAGCAGAAGTAAAAGTCTAACTGAAAGAGCTCTATAAAGGTTTACTGTTATATCTAGAGCTTATATTCTGATATGACGCGTATAACTTGAGCACTTGAACGTTAGAACCTTTGCAAGTCACAATGAGAAGATAGAAGACTGTCAGGTATTTATAGTTTTTAGTAAAGACGAAATCATCATTATAGCTATCCACTCCGCACACTGGGGGTTATTAGCATTGTCCAATCGAGAAGCTACACCCAGAGGTTCTAGAATATTCTTCCAAAAAATGGTTGGATGAAATATCTTCGGCTCTTTCTGAGCTTCTTAAGGCTTCCTCGAGTTCACCCGTGGATCGTCCTCATATATACTAATTTGTGACTATAGCGATCTCTAATTAGATGAGGTTGCAAATTGATGTAAGTATCAGTTATTTTTTGCTAATTTTATTTCTCAGTGAAAACATTTCAGAATCAGCCATATCTTCAAAAAATAAATAAATATTCGAAAATAAGCTGATACATGTTTAAGCAATCCGTACTTACTGAAGATCAGCTGCTGGTGGAAAGAACACATAATCTGTATCGAGTTTTATTGCACTAAATCCCTTTGTTCTAATTAATTCGAGCATTTGACGAATTGTATGTTGTAGCGCTGTCAATATTTGTACACGAAAACCTGGACGATTACCAGCTTGTTCCCATGAATCAAACTGAAAATGAGATGTATGTAAAAGATTTAATATAAATTAGTCTATTGTACATGATGGCTGTATATTATATTTTGGAACATATTTGGAATAATTATCTTTTCATTGATCCATTGTTGTGGCATATTAAATTACTTAACGTAATCGTAATCATACGATTATGTTATTGGTATCGAACGACTAAATTGGAAAGAAAAAAGAGTCCTAATCATTAACGCTTTAAAAATTCATTATTGTTATACTCGTTAGATTGCAAAATGTTATTCTTTGAAAGGTTTGAATTATAATCATTTTTCTTTATTTATACTTCATCTCAGAAACATTTGTGTCATCCATTTGCACATGAAGCTACTCAGTGCATTATTATATTGGAGTACATACATGGTTGATTCTTCTATATTGTTCGGCTTTTACATAGCTGATAGTTTATCTGTTAATATTTTCTTGGACTTGAAGTAAGCTGTATAATATGTATACCTTTGCACGGTACTTTTGACATGAAGATCATCAAGATTCAAAAGATTAATATCTTTAAAATAATACAATGAACATTTACACCGTTGGTCTTACGTTTAATTTTAGAAGAAATAACACTCTGTACTGCGCGTGCGCTCAAACTGAAACAGGTGGTTTTCTTAGGGTTCACTCCTCGAGCCTTCGACCTGAAGGTCCAGTCCATAACGCAGTGCAGCAACGCTAAGAGGTGCAGTCCCATGGTAGCCGGTTACCAATAATTGGTTCCTACACCATTTGTTCCTTCAAGATCTTGGAGCCCACGTGCACCATTAGTTTGGAATCAGGGTTTTCCAACTTCCATAGGTGTGTCCTCGGGCGAGACTATAATTTATGGACGAACCAATCAAGTTTAAGATAACAGGTCTCGGATTTTGGCGCAAAACTCACCTATCTATTTGGCTAAATAGAGTTTTGGCATTATAGTTGATGTCAGTTCGTGATGAAACCTTTAAATGTAATTCCTAACCCTAGCCATCAACTGTAAATCATAATTCTAATTCCTCACGCTAGTTTACAACCCTCGTTTGGTCTTAGTTATTGGGTGAACGCCCTCAAGGTCACTTCGGCGTCGCTAATGGCCGTACATACACACCAACCCTGTTAAAGCTCGGGACATTCGCTGTTCATCCTATCAGTTTCGTGAACAACAGCCCGCCGCGAGAAGGCAGTGAGTGAGACTTCCCTGGCGATGGTTATATACAAGTGGCTATGTGAGAGCATTTCGTGAATGAGAGCGGACTCTCCTCACCCTCGACCGTACTAGGAAATTTGGAGGGTAACACTCTGTATATAACTCAAAACCTTCAAAATAGCAATACATGAAAATGTATATTGTTATGCATATGTGTAACTAAGTATATAAGTATATGAAAACAGTTATCTGTTGTCCAACCAATCAAAATAGAATCACGGAAACTTTGTTTAGCTCAGGATAATGAGATCGTATTTCTTTCTAAGTTGAAAGTCGCTTCAACAAAGCACAAATGAACTATAGTCTTTTTTCCATCTTTTTATCACTTCTTTGTAGGTTTACCAGAGAGCTACTTTAGGTCTTCAGAAATACACGTACGAGGTTAGTTTTTATTTGGAGGCTTATATTTAATTGAAATATTTTAACTTATATTTCTTAATAGAAATTCACTTGATTGCAAATTCGAACTATAGAATGATTTTTAAAATTCCAATGATAATAAGTCACAAGTAATACAGTTACCTACTTACAACGCTGGTTCCTAGTGTTAGGTTATTGTAGAATGCAAAACGTTCACTACCAACACGGTAGTTGAATATCAAATGTTAGGTTTTTTGTATGCTGGTAAGTGCATGTTTTCATGAGTATGTATGTTTTATGGTTTGTCAGTTCTCTTATTGATTTCATTTAGCATTGAAAACCTTAAAACTGAACTATTCTCCAAAAGCTGTCTAACTAACTAATTACATCTTCTGTTTTAAACCTTATATTTTTATCCAGCTAGTGTAAAAGAAAAGTGTTAGTGTAAAAACCAACAAGTTTCATACTATTCTTATAGTCTAGCTAACTCGGTATAATCAAAAGTGAAATGCTGATTACGTTTAATGAATTGAGAAGCTATATACAGAATTAATCTCAAATGTTTAATGGAATGTATTTGGCTTTATAGATTAAATTAAAACAAAGGTAGGAAAAAAATTTTGTGAAAAACATTAGTTACATTTCGTTTTCTTTTTTGTTTTCTGCTCTATATTATAATTTAGTGTTTTTAATGAAGGTTGTTTAAGCTAAACAACATTCATTATCTTTCAGTTATCATTTTGCCAAGAAATGATTTTAATTAAAGATACTTCAGTAGACGATCTTATATATATTTTTTCTTGAATATAGTACAGAAAACAGAGAGATGATGATATTCATTATTATTACGTAATCAATAGGTAGTTGTTTAAATTAAGATGTTTCACCGGTTGAGATCATGAGTCAATTGAAGCACTGGACGGCCGTTTCGTCCCACTGTGGGACTCCTCAGAGGTGAACACCCACTACCCCGCCTCGCTTGATTCGAACCTAGGACCTATCAGTCTCGCCCCAGGCGCTTAACCAACTAGACCACTGAGCGGGCCGTCATCTAACGGTGTTAATGTCTAACTCCACGTAATTGTGCGACACATCCACCATTGTCTTCGGTGAGTTACTACCTCACAACAGACCTGGTTGAACTCCACTGGTCATTGAATCTCACTAGAATTCCAGGATATATCTCTTGAAGCCAGCCCCACAATAGAACGAAACGGTAGTCCAGTGCTTCCAGGTTTTCCATGGTGATCTAGCTTCAATTGGCTTATGATTTCAATCAGTGACTGAAGTTTTCAAGTGTTTATTCTTTAAAGAGTGCAAAAACATCTTTGTATATTATCTAACGATAATAGTAATTTTGATTCATTTCCATTGTTTAGGTAACGAGATCATAATCATATTTACATTTATATCTTTATAAGGTAATAATAGATGAACTTTGGAAAGTATTCATTCAACTGAATAAAAATTTATTCCAACTAAAATTTCTACATAATATAATCAATGTTCTTGAAAGTTCTTTATAACATCCCTAGAAAGATATTGATTAAATTTGGTAAATGTAATCGTAGGCAAAAGGAATAAATAATTTTTTAAGAAAATTAAAGATATATCTCATTAGATTTTTAAGTTGATATAATTTATTAACTCCAGTAGAACAAAAAAGACTTTTGGATGTTACTAACTGAGAAGAAATTAATCGGTATATTTTAAATCACTTAAGTTTAAAAGTCATATGTACACTGATTTGAATCTATGTATCTACAATTCGAGTTGTTCTGGCTGTCGGTTGGGATAACTTTAATAGCCCGGGGTCTGACTCCAAGTAGATCGTATGAATGATTGCTGTCGTAATGTATATGTCGCCTATCCTCGTATATAATCATCGAATTAAATCGCGTTAGTCAGTAACGGAATTAAATAAGTCAAATAACGAGAATGAACTTTTGAATACATATATTTTGTATATGAAGTGAATGGAATAGAGCGAAGCGAAACGACGCTCAGTGGAAATGGCGGGTAAGCCAAATTCATTTAATCAAGCGTTGAACAATATTTATAGTCACACAAAAATAAGTTACAGGCATGTGATGAATAGGATAAGAAATGTACACACATATGCGCCCATATAAAAAACAGTCAAGATTGATAAGCGAATAATTAACAAGGTCAAAATATGACTAGAGTAGAATGAGTAGATTGGCCTGTCCGAAAGCCAGAATAAGATATATAAGTTTAACGTAATAACCAGCACCACATGACAATATTTAACTCACCAACGTATTATACCACTAATTAAACTACATGCACAATGTGTTTAAAATACTTTCTGCTGTTTATGAAGAATTTTGAATGTAGCCTTAGAGTATGTACTAAAATGTAGGTGGATTTATCTTTGTGTCAAGTATGTGATTACAATAAGCTCAAGAAGACTATTCACAATGATATGTTTACGTTGAGTAATGTTATTTCATGCTATATTAGTTTACAGGAGAATTAGGTCTTGTGCAAGTTTATTATAACCCAGATAACACAAATGCTTCTTTTGATGCGTGTATTAGAACATGCAAGACACTAGTGGACAATTCCTATCATAACAATAAATTACTTTCGACAATTAGATCACTTGTAACCTATCCTGGTTACACGAACTAATTTTATGGACAACAGTAATATACAAGTATCATTACTAACGTTTGACCGCATAATTTCAAATAAATTAACCATTGGGTAGATTGTTAATGATAAAAATATCAATAATTTCATTGTTAATAGCAAAATACGCAACATTTAGTTCAGTTTTTTCTTGAGAGATTTAAGTAAAAGAAATGGGACACTGATTTTCACTCACGCTTAAAACTTAGTTTTATGTTGAAATACCGTTAGTATATTGCCTTGTCCAATTTTATCACATTTACAAAATTTCCCTCTTTTTGAATTACAGTTAGTATCCAGGGTCAGTGTACACAGTTTTCACTTAAAAATCCAGATTTTATTATTTATTCAAATGATGTATGTGATGTAAAAAACCAAAGTATTAGAACATCTTTGCCGACTGAAAATTCATGGGTTTGAAAATGTACGGCGAATTGTTAATTTTTTATGAATAGTATCTGAGATAAACACATATGTATTTACGATTTCAACTGAAATTATCCATAAATGCCTTAAGTGTATCTTAACTAGGGAAGTTTATTGAGACTACTCTCATATAACCAATGAAAACTAGGAAGCATTGGAAAGCTTTCTCATTGTGGTATACTCTCTGGTGATTAAACTTGAAAGCTAATTCTCAGAGTTCTCTTTAGAAATTGTGATTAATGAAGTTCAGCGATGTTAGATATTAGGTAGGTACCCGTCAAATCTATTGGTAGGTGATTGCGTAATTTCTCGGATTAATTACAATTAAACATGTTAATCACTGGGTGCTATTTCAGTTGTACGAGTGTTAAGCACTCCTTGCCAGACCTGAAGGTCCCCGGTTATATCCTCGGTAGGGTTGTGGATATCAAATGACGAAGATTCCCATATTAGGATGAAACAGCTGTTCAGTGCTTCCTAGTTTTCAATGACTGTATGAGATTCCTACATAGTATAAGTTCACTTATAGGTTAATTATTTTTTCGATTTCAGAATGAAGAATGAATACAAAAGTTAGTACATACATATTGGTTTTGATTTTAAAAACTACATAAAACTCGATCAAGATTTAAATGTGGCACATATATATATATATATATATATATATATATATATATATATAATTATTATGAATTTTAGATAGATTTTACTTAACGTAATTATGGATGTATGATATGGAACAGTGAAACATAAAAACATTGATTTTAATCCTATTTAGATCTCTATAATATAACGCTAGAAGTTTACAACAGAATGAAAAATTTCAAGTCATCATCAAAACACTTCCATGGTTTCATTTCAGAATGATTTCAAATCTATTGATTTGATTCATGTACTTTAATTAAAATACTTGATTGTGGATTTTACTACTTAAATCAGTTAAATGCTCGTTCGCTTTAAAATTTACCAACTACATTTATTCATCTCATATATGATTTAAATTTAAATCAAGCCTATTACAAAAAAGGAATATTAAGTTAACTTTATTCTACTTTTTATTGAGTATAAACTTACTCTTTCAGCTACTTTTGGTGTTTCGAAATCACTCATAGGTGGTCCTTGACTAGTTAATGGACAGCTAAATCCCAATCTAAGCCCAGTTAATGGTATATGGTGTGAATGTCTTCCATGTTTTCTAGCATTGTCAGGTGGACTTAAACTTGGTAATTGAGTTTGGAATGTGACATAAATACGTGGCTCACTGAGTTTACATTCTTTGCCTTGACATTGATTAGATTTTGAATCTGTTGTACGATTATGGTTTGGAGTATTTGATCGACATGAACAGCGATGAGTTACTGATGTGATTCGTACAACAAATCTATCTCTGTGATGACTTCGCATCCAAGGACGCTCTTGCTAATAATATAATAAATAAAAACATAAAATTAGTATATAACTAGTAAAATTAGATATAATATTATCATCGTTTCTGTTTTGCTGTTTGGCTTAATTACTGACTGGATTTTAGCTATGAAGATTGAATAAATGATCTAAAATGTCTCCCTGGTAACTATTAATATTCATTATGAATGACAGACTGTAATTCTAACTTGATTTTATTAATATCCGTTGACAAAATGTCTCTCTGAATTTTCGTTTGGTTTTAGAGAACGCACTATAACTGTTAAAGCGTAATGCCTTGAATAGATTAAAAGATACAGACTATTTCAGCTTTCCTAATGAGCTTTTGCTGCTGAAATATACTGTTTAGAATTCGCAAACTTATTACCTAAACCATAGTAGCATAGACTGAGAAATATTCTGTTGCATTAGTTGGGAGAAATCTGATCTAGGTAATAAAAAAAGTATGTAGGTTTTAGCAATTTCTAGTCAGCCATGGTTTGTAATATGTTTTATTATTACATGGAACTCGTATATGAGTTCTAACGTTAACAGTCTGTCGGCCACTTATGTTTTCGAGCTAAACGTTCGCTAAAATTTCATTTTCCTCCATGCAGAATGAATGTTGAATACTCAACTCATAATTTCACAACATTTTATAATATTTTTCTTTAACTTTAGTAAGTTTTGATAAATTCATTTAATCAAATTGTTGTTAGGAAAACTAATATCTATTGAGTTTTTTGTCTACCCTGAACTAAGATTCATAACATGTTTATCGCCGATTGTTTTTTTACAGTTTTAAAAGTATTATAGATTGTCATATTTTGTGCTTTATTGATCTCTGAATACGATTATATTTACTCACTAACTAAAGTGTCAAGAAAAGTGATCAAGGTGTCAAGTCTAATGAATAACGCGTTAAGTGTTTGAGGCAAAAGGTACTAGGTGTAGGCATCAACTCTGAAATGTGTGTACATCCATCTTAAGAGTCTCAAATAAGATGAAACGCACCAACTCTATCACACTGCTAGCCATAAACCATCTATACTATTCTTAACAAACGTGTTACTTAACATACATTTTACTTCACTATTTCGTTAACTTAGAACGATGGTATCTGAAAAGCTGTGAGGAAACTTACAGTTAATAGAAAGCAAGTACCTGTACTTATCGAAATTGATCTCTGAAGATATGATTTTATTTATAATCATTAAAGGCCTCAAAATAGGACAATAAACTTGGTCATTCCAACAAGTTTTTGGTGTTTTTATAACTGATGTTATCCTATTTTTTTTAACAGCAACCATGTTTATTCTTTATTCTTTACTTGGTTTACTAACTGATAAATATGAGACCGAATTGATATTAAAAAGAAATCCAGTTTATACGCTACATACTACTGGGTACCATGAATATTTGAAACTCACTAAAACATTACTGTCAGTGATGACTAACCGAACCTAAGTTATCTCAATAACGGATACTGGATTTAAACTTAGTCTTTTGACTGTATTTTCGAGTCGATCTGAATCACATGAAAGTATTGTTTTATTTAACATCCTCTTTCGATTGTTATCATCTATCTTCTAATGAATCTTTATTTATTTTCAAAAACAACTTACATTTAATAATCTTGATACATTAGTCACTTGTCTTGAATATCCTATATTGGCATTAACAGCTTGATTTACATTATTATATGAACCAGGATTTGACCATAGGTTATGGTTAGTTTTAACAGTCTCCTGTGTTGGTTCCATTTCATACGGATTTAATTTTCCAACTTCCATTTTTGAATTTTGATTTACATTTTCTACATTTCCTGTCATTGTATTATCTTGAATTTTTACTATAGGTGTATTCGTTGGTCTGTTAGTCGACTGTATATATGACATTGAGTTACTTGGCAGTTTAATATTTTGTTGTGTGTTTGTATCATCTGCCCATACAGACTCTGTTTTTATTTCTGGGATTGTATTTTCTGGAATGAAATTGCTACTGCTATTAATACTGGGCATGTGTTCATTATTATTATTATTATTATTATTATTATTATTATTATTATGTTGTTGTTGTTGTTGTTGTTGTTGTTGCTGTTGTTGTTGTTGATAGGACTGATGTAATTGTTTAGTTAATTGTTGAATAACTGAACTCCAAACATTGTTTGATCCATCCGGTTTAATTGATAATTGTAGAAGTTGAGTTAGTAAATTTAAATTATGTAAATTTGCATTTTGAGAATTACCGTTTTGAATAATCGACTGTAATAATTGAATAATTTCTTGATTATTTTGACTTATCCCTGTTATCGATTGTGTTTGACGTGACATAGGGAGAGAAGTGTCCGAGTATTTTGGCAATGATATATTTGAACCACAAGGAGACTGTTGAAAATATAAGGAGAACGGTAATAATGGTATGATTATAACCAACTAATTCGGTGATTTTATTCAGAATTACTTAATCATGATTAGGACTCAATTCTTACGTGACCATTTTAAAAGTTGACAGGTATCTTTACAAAGTACGTGTACAATTATTATTGGTCATGCGGTATATTTAACTCATAGTAATGTGTATGGGGATTTGTGGAGACTGTAGTATTTTCACAGTTGAAATCACGAGTCGATCTAAGCTAGGCCACCATTGAAATCCTGAAAGCACTAGCCGACCGTCTTGTCTTAGTAAGGAACTTCTTAGCAGTACGTATCCACGATCCCACAAGAGGGACTTGAACCCAGAACCTTCGGTTTTACGCACAAATGCTTAACCTCTAAACCACCAGATCGGCATCCAGAGGTATTAATATTTAACTTCAATCAAACCATGATCTTGTGCAACCATTCATTCATTGCCTGAAGTGGACAACTGTCTCACACCCGATACGGACTGATCTCTACTAGTAATGAATTCTCACTGGAACTCCAGTTGTTACATATTGAAGCTAGTAACTGGTAAGCAGATGATCGTTATCAGCCCAAGGATTTGTGAAAATCGTAGCATTTTTACACTTGAAATCATGAGTTTTTATTATTGTTAACTAACAATAAATAAAAAATAAAAACGATATTGAGTATATTAAAGGTAATAGTTTGCAAAACTCTTTTCTCTGTCATATTTATCTTAAAATGGATATTATCCATGTTATTTCATTTTCTATAGACCAATATTGCTTGTTTTATATTTCCATAGTTTAAATTACGAACTGATATTAGCTAGGAGGCACTGAACGACCGTTGCGTCTCAAAGTGAGACTTTCAAGCAGTATATATCTACGATCCCCGCATCCAGGAACCGAACCAAGAACCTTTAGTCTTGCTCACGAACACTTTACCTCCAAATCACCTAGATATCAGAATAGATAATTTTTGATTCTACTTATGTCACTATGTATAATACCGTATGTCTGTTATTGGAAAAAGTACGAAATCTGATGAAACAAAACTTAGTTTGTGTTGTAAGCATTTTGAAATCTCTGAAATAACCAATTGTGTTTGTGAGATGTTTTGGAAAGATTTCTTTACAAATACTAAACGATGAACATTCATTCTCTATGAATTTCTAACTGATATAATTTAGATCTAAGCAAGTTTAACCGAAATAGAACAAGAAATTAATAAAATAATGATAATATCAAGTAGAAACGAAGTAGATATGATACTGTTTATGATAACTTTACATTTAAAACTCTAACAACTAAGTGTTTATTTAGAGAATGATTAATGATAGATAGTTCAATACAAAGTTATTTTCTTTATTGGCTATTAAGAAAGTAAGTATTGACAACAAAGACAATAATTTGATTAGTAGAATAATTAAAAATCCTCAATGAAAAAAATGTAAATGTGTACAATTAAAGTACATGCATATGTTCATTCACAAAATAACATAATTCTACTTTTAATTCAATACTATATATTGAACACTTTTAATTATTAGGTAGCAGTGGAATCCAGGACGCGAGTTTCGTCCTGTTTGGGACTCGTCAGCTGGATGTATCTCCGAGTTGATGTTCACTCTGGGACTCGAACCTAAGACCATTCGCGTCAAACGCCATCGCATTATCCACTCAGCTATTGAGTTCTGATAGCCACTTGCTTGTGGAATGGGGTGAATCTAAATTCATTTGGTATTGTTTGGCTTGTATCTTCCCATTGAGGTTTAAGACTGCAATTGATCAGTCTGGTATCGGCATATGTGTCCTGGATTCCATTGCTAGCCACTATCCATCATTGCTTACAAAAAGCTTGTGAATTAAGGCAATATCGAGGCATACGCACAGTATACACAATGCCAATAACAGACTGATCAACTGCAGTCTTAAACCTCAATGGGAAGATACAAGCCAAATAATACCAAGTGAACTTTTAATTATTATTACTGAACTATTACAATTGTTTATTCTTTTTAACCGTTATACTTTAATATCTGTTCAATTAATTAAACAATGAATTTAATCGTTAATTGAACATGTTTCTAATTATTTCAATGTTACCTTTATGTCGAATTGCTAGTGATTTAATGATCATGTCTATATGTATCTTGAATCATGACTAAGCTATAGCATTAGCCCACTGAAACTAAACTAAATTGGAATAGATTTTTTAAATTATGTTTATGTAGAACATTGTATACACAGTTTAACATCTTTAGACTAAGACGTTTCTAGTGAATAAATAGTATATTACAATATTTAATTGAACAAATATACTTTTGAAGATGTTTCGTAGAAAATTAAAGAAAAAAAACACTAGTCATACTAAATTCACCAGGTGTTGTTTGCTTGTATCTTCTCATTGTTGTTTAGGATTGCAATCTATCAATCTCTTATTGGTTAATGTGCATCCTGTGCGGATTGTCTTGATATTACCTTAAGTTACAAGCTTTATAAGCAAAGATGGATAGTGGTTAACAGTGAAATCCAGGACGCACGTTTTGTCTTATTTAGAACTCGTCAGCTGGATGTACCCGCATCTCAAAATTGATGTTCACTCTAGGACTCGAACCCAGTACCGTTCGTTTCAAACACCAACGAGTCCTGGAGTGAATTTCAACTCTGAGATGCGAGCACATTCATCTGACGAATCCCAAATAGGACGAGACGTGCGTCCTGAATTAAACTGCTAACCACTATCCATCTTTGCTTATAAAACTAATCATACTAGTTGGCTAAAGAATCGCTTTTTAATGGATACTTGTAACATGAAGTAACTCTATTTTTACTGTGACTGTTTAAACATATAGTTTAGTTAAAACTCTGGTTTACAAAATATGATCAGTTTACATATTGCAATGTTTAATATGTACCTGGTAATCCTATAAAATGGAACATATTAATACAATAGATTTCATAATTTATGCAAGTGTTTAGATGTGTTCAACTAATCAGGTGCCACTATTTTGAGTGAATACCAACTTATCTGCCATATATTTATATGACAACTCTCATATATCGTTTAAAAAAAAAGATCTCAGATTTAGCCATTTTTTGTTACTCACACTTACATTATGCATAGTTCATGATAGGTACCCATAAAATAAGTATTTTCGTGTATATTTTAGATGTAAAATGGTTCCAAAGGAAATAAATGGTAAAAACCCTAATCCCAGTACTGCTGATTAATAATAATAGTAGTATTAGTGTTGTGAACGAGAGCTCAAATGGGGACAACCAACTGTATTTTGATACAAAGTTATAGGGTTCTTTCGTCAAACGTGGAAACCATACGTTCAATACTTCACTTGCAAATCCTACATCATTTATCTTAAAGTTACTCTCTGTTCCCGTTCTTTTCGATTCAATCATCCCAACATTCTGCTGCCAGGTTTTCTATTTCCGATTCGTGTTACATACTACTTATAACGACATAAGTAGCAAACATCAAACTCGCCCCTCTTTAAACGGTCGCTGTTGAGGTTGCTCTACTCTCAATGCCACTTTATTCTTTGCTGCAGTCTGTAACACGCTCCCGTCAAAATGTCAATTTCTCCGGTGCTGACCTTCGTAGCTCCGTCGACCTACAGAGTTATCGAAATTCTTGTCCAACCAGCAGCCACACTTCCCTGTAGTAGTAGCGATAGTAATAGTTTTATTATTATGAACAGTGAAGGATGGAATAATAGATGAATTAGATTATAGGGAAGACCATAAAAAGGAAAGAGATAAGTAGGTCGCAGAAAAATCTAAAGATTTCCGTTTTCTTTGATGTTTTAGTTTATATGCTTGTTTGATCTGTTATGTACATATGTATATGTGCATATGAATAGGCAACAATTCTAACAATATTTAACTTAAAACAATTAAGAGTATATTTGTGTAGTTGTGTATTTTTAGAAAAATAAAACAACTAAAGTAACCAAATGTTTTATCAGATGAAAATGTGATGGAATATATTAACACTAGATTGACCAATGTACCATCTATGAATAGATTAAAGTAAATGTTTATTCAGTAAACTTAAAAACGGCTTAAATTGGGCAAGGTTTAAACGTTAGGTCCTTTTGAAATGTACCCGCCCTTTCGTTTCAACGACCTTGAACGGCTTGACTAGAGGCGGTCATTCCGTATTTCAATTGCCGTAGGTTGGTTGGATTGCATGAGTATCAATTTTTTTCATATATAAGTCATCTTATGCTACATAAAAAAGCACGAAATAAATACCAAAACCATTAATTTAGCGTTCTCTGTTTTGTAGTGTACACTTTGGCTCTGTTGTTGCTTTGTAATTTGACCTGTGATCCCAACAACTGTAGTAAAGCTCAACGAAATGTCAAGTCACAGGTAAATCCTAAGTATTTGTAGTATTTCCTTGGGTTATTATTGTTGCAAGGAATAACTTTTTAATAATTAGTCATGTCTGTTTTTAGTGCTTCATGCTCAAGTGACATTTCAGTCGACGTAACCGATGCCTTTCGAAGTATGATACTGAATAAGCGTTTCGTGTTGTGGGATGATTTTGATATCGCCTTAAAAGAGTTCCAAGAAGTATGGAATTATAATTTTATCGCTTCTCAGACTACTTATACTCGTTACATCCACACAGAAAGCAGATTGCTGAAGGATGTCAGGTTCAAATACCTGTTTGTATCGTTTAATTGTACGTTTGGTCATAGACGGAAATCGGAAGATTTGAAAGTGAGGCAAAAATCGTAAAATCTTTAACTAGTATCTTATGTTTAAGGTCTAAATTCCGTAATTGTCAATCTAAATTCCGTGTAAGACTAGAGGAGCAAGGATATGTCATCAAATCCTACAACATGCTCCACAATCATCCATGTAGTAGTTCATGGATGGTATTTGATCCATGGACAAGGAGATTACCGTCAGAAGAAAAGGAGAACTTGAAGCCCGTAATACTTCACTGTGAGTCAGCAGATGAAGTTA